CCAAAATAAATTGCTTATTTTAGCACTAATTTTGTTAGTCCTGTGATATTTCACTTTTATCTACACAGCTTACATTTTTATGTCCCTCTGAGTTGCTAATATAGTGTGCATAATTCAGAAATGATAATCTCTTCATATCAATACTATTTTTATAATGCATGAATATTATTTGAAATATATATGAATGAACTCTGACCACAGAAGACTAGGTTCATGAAGCTTTATTTTATTTAATTACATATTTTGTTTCTACCTTCATTATTATTTTTAAATAAGTCAAGGCAATGAACATACTTAATTCTTCCTCCTACTTTTGCTACAACAAGCCAGTGAGGTGGATTGCACTGAATCACCAGCATAGTCACCAGCTGGCTCTCATGCCTAAGGTGGGACAAGAACTCAGAATCTCCTGGTTTTAGGCCAGCATCTTAACCACTATCCCCGACTAGCTAATCTATGATTTTCCAGTTTACTGGCCAGAAAGTTCTGAAAGTTTAAGTCCACATATCTTAAAATGTCAAAGGTTGAGAAACATTGGCTTAGAGTATGGTATCAAGGATGAAATATTTCATGTAACGGTAATAATCAGAAGCAATTTCAATGTTTATAAATAATTTTTAATAATCACCATTTGGTTATGGTGGAAGAGAATTTTAGAATTTAATATTGCTTTCACTTATTGTTTTTAGTATTTTTTGTTTTCTTCTTTTCAAAAGATTATGTGCATTTAAGCATGAAATTGTTATAAATGTTACAGCTTAAAGTTCTGTAGTGGTACTGTTTTTCAAGACAATATAAGGGTTTTAATTTTTATATATTAAATTAATTTATCAATGAAATAATAAATGCTAAATTTTACAACAATTTAAAATTCTCTGTGTATTTGCTGATGTTTTATTTTCTATCCACAATGTCCTTTCTCATTTTCTCTTTTTTCTTAGTCATTTATTTCATTCCTTAACTGTTTTAAATGCTTGGTGTTTTGGTAAAGCCAGGGTCAAGGTTGTTACTGACGCATGAAAGAGCATGTTGAGAAAGGAAAACTGAAGTTTAGCTGCACTGTGGGACAGCTGTATCAGTTAGAAATAAGTATTTTGTACATCAAAGAGGCTGTATCTGCAGAAGTGAAGATAAACAATATTTGATAAAATATTTGTCACTGCTTCTTTTTAATGCAGATGTTCAGGCAGTTGTTATTGTAGCTGTTCTGCCCCCCCCCTCCAAACATATCCAACAATCTTTTTATAATCTCTGTCTGACGTAGGTATAAACAACAGTGAAAACAATGGTCAAATTGTAGCCATTAAGTTTGAAGTTACAATAGAAGAGAATATACATAGCTCAGGATTGAACTGTGGTGTCCTTGGGGCATTAAGGACTGCAAAGTTTGAACTTAGCTTGAAGTTATTGTTTAATGAAGTGTGGAAGTTCTATACTGTTTGGGGAAACACAGATTCAAATTTTCCAAGGGTGATAAGTGCCAATCTCTTATTTTTCTTTACTTCTCAAAGAAAAATGACTGTAATAACCTGGTTCTAATTTTCTTGGTTAGGAATTTTTTTTATATGATGATGTCAAACTTTTATTTTATCTCTGCTGCATAATTTTGATGTCTCTCTGCCTACTGGCTGTCCAGAGTGGTTGAGAGTTGGGCACCACACACATTTAATTATAGTGGAGAAAATAAAACTAGAATGGAAATGGCACTCCTTCCTCTTCTCCTCCCATCTTTTCGACATGACCATGCTAAAATCTTTGATCTCAAGCTCAAATCTTCATATATTTGCCCAATCCTATTAGACCCAAATTGACCCTCTTGCTTCTCACCAAGAAAGCCCCTCTAAATCTCATCTAAGACAAAGAGTAGAAGCCTCCTCACCAGTAAATAGTAAAATCCAAGGACAGCTCTTACAAAAGAATGGCAACCTAGAAAAACCCCACATTCCAACCTCAATCAGCCTGATGACTTCACCATTCCATCTCCTTTAATAAGAAACTTCCCCACTTTGATATTCACAGGAAAGGCCCATGTTGCCTAACAATAGGCATATCTGTTATTTACACACACACACACACACACACACACACCAATATACCATCAAGGACCTACCCAGTTTTCCCCAAACTTGTCAGCTAATAAGATCCCTAAGAATGTAGGGCAGCCCCCGGCTTCTTGCCTTTTATAGAAGAAGTTGCTTTATAGAGAGAAGACTGCCGACTAGAAAGGTTCTTCTCTAGAAGCACTCAGTCTTTTGACTAGGTTTCTACAAAAACATGAATCTATAATTAATTTCAACACACAAACACACACACACACAAACACCAGACTACATGTTTTGTAGTTTTAGCACCTAAAAATATAAACATGTCATTCAAAAATTCACCGGAATTGAAATATACAAACCATAGGAGGATGACATCTTTTAAAATTTCAGAGTAATTTTATTCTGACAACAAAAATATTTTAATATGGGTATCACACAGAACTACCCCAAAAATAATTTTCCATGCCTGAGGATCTGGATATTATGGTACTAAGCAAACCATCTTTCCCTCTTGTTGTTATTGTCCACATTTCTGATGCGGAAAAGATGACCAAAAGTATTCTTAGTAGCTCATTATCCAGGATTCTTTTGAAGGATAAATTATATTAAATTTATAAATGATAAATTTGAAATTGGTATATAGGTAAGACTGATGCTCTGTGACGCTCTTCTTTTTCAAAGCTCTTCTAGCCAAGCTTAAGCTGAATAGCAAATTCATACAGAAACAGCTTTATAAGAACAAAATACCCTCGAATCGTAAACAAAACAGGCGTGTATGTGGATCATCTGAGGTCTACAGACCTGCAAATTTATTTTGCTATGTTTATATAGCTACTTGTCTCACCAAGAAATTGTTCCTCTCTGATCAGTTAATAATTGATGGCATGATTTTCTACCAATAAGAAACACCCCAAAATAGGACATGCCATTAATCAGGCTTGATGTGGCTAAAAATAAATTCTGCCATCAAAACCCAGAAAACCTTTTATCTGTTTAACCTTATCCATTTTGCACTATTTCACCAACTGCGTTTCTTGTTTTCCCAAGATACATGGAATAGAAGGTTGCCTTTGCTAAAAAGCTTCTGCTGAATGTTAACTCAACATTTTAGCACAAAAATCTTATTATCTTCCAAACATCTTCATACTTAATTCAATTAATGTTTTTAAAATTCTTCAACATCTTCCCACTCAAAAAAAATTCCATTGGGGTTGGGTGACTAATAAACGTATAATAATTATAATTGTAGAATTGTGATGATGATTCCAAATTAAATAATATTCTTTGTAGATAGTGGTACATATGGGATTATTCTGCACAGGCAGTTATAATGCATGCCATCTACACTAACAGAGTTGGTGCTAAATGACCATACTTAACTGTGAAAGCCTCTACTGCATTCAGGAAACACTGCTCAGTAAATGATGCAATCCAGGCAGAAGATTACCATGCATTTCCTTGCTGGCCTGGCTGAAATGAAGCAATATGTCAGGTTTAAAAAGGAAAGGGAAAAAAAAAAGAAAAAGAAAATGGCATTTAAAAGAAGCTAAGAAACTTATTCCAATTTACACAGTCTGTAATTTAACCATGTTTACATTCTGAATGCAAAACTGTTCCAGTTTGAAATAACTCTTTGGACTGAAGCTTTGTCTCTGTGTATTCTAGTTACCAGGAAAAACACAACAGAATACAGAGAAAAACACAAAAACATGCAGCATTCGTTATATCTTTCAAGTGCCACCTGAACCTTTGTTGTCAGTTTCAGACATTGATAGAAATGTTTTGTGCTTTACAGAGCACCTTCCAAAAGTTGAAATTGAACTTTTACATTAAAAAGAGTTTTGTTCCTGTTTTAACATGTTCTTGTTCCTGCTTTACCTGTGCATCTGGAAATATGGGTTTCCCCCGAAAAGTGATTATTATAGATTATGGCATTCACTTGTTGCCCTTTATTAATTTGCCATTTTTCCTCGATTTTTAATTTTATTATGACTTGCATACTTGTGTCTTACCGGATTCGCAAAAAGAAGATGGGGATTCTCAAAAAGAAATCCGGATTCTCTAGTAGAAGATGGGGGGGGGGGGGCGGACCCTACGCAATTTGCGGGGTACGTGATCCCAGGTAACTAAGTCATTTAGTAAACCCTAATTCAGTTAGACATAGGTTCGTGAAATACGCACTCATAGCCGTGCAAAAGATTCATTAAAATAAATAAATAAATTAGGAGTGACCTCCCGTTTGGGGACATTAAACAGAGCACATCGGAATATATTTTAAAGGATTTTCCCTTGCACAAACGAATGGACAAAGCATGCAAGGTTTGGGTGACAGAAGATTCACGGAATCCTGCCTTTTCCTCGGCGGGGATCATGGGAGTTGAAGTCCAAAACAAACTGGAGAACTCCAGGCTGGGAAAGCTGCGCCCTCCAGCTGTTCTTTCTCACCCCCCCCGGAGAAAGCCGGCCTCATCGGAAGCTCTCTCCAAATTACGACGCTCGAGAATAAGAAAAAAGCGCTCGGCTTTGAAAGCGGCTTCCGCCGCGCCTACGAGGAACAAAATTGCTAGCGCGTGTGAGGGAAAGAGGCCCAAGGACAGCTGGGCGGTCTCCTGGCCTTGCCCACAGCCACACCTTTAGGCGGGAATGGTGGCGGAGAGCCCGTCGCGCGTGGCGGCGGCGCCCCACTCGGGGTTTGTAGCCGCGTGGACGCGCTCACAGGGCCACCAAGCGGCCGTTGGGGTCCCCCGGCACGCGCGCCTCCTTCTGTTTTTCCCACTACCGCTCGACGCTTTTGTCTTTCCCCGTGACGAGCCAGCCGGAGGTGGAGAAAGAGGGAGGACGGAACTGAAGTGGTTGTTACGAGCAACCGCTCCCTCTGTGCCTGCCCACCCCCCCGCCGCCCTCCTCAACCCCTAGGCTGCTGCTTTTTGTGTGTGTGTGTATGTGTGTCATTACACTTTCCCTCCCCTTCTTTCATTCACGGCAGGCGAGAGGGAGGAGTCACTATAAGTAGCGGCGGGAGCGGTTGTAAGAGAGCGCAACGCGAGGTCGCCCGCTGTGAGCCTTTTTTTTTTTTTCACCCCGGCGCTGCCATCCTCGCGGCAGGTCCCGCTTCGCTTCCCAACTCCGGGTCTTCTTCAGCGTCCCTTTTTTTTTCTTTTTCTTTCCCCTCTCTTCCTATCTAAACCGGCTGTAGTAGAAATATCCCCGGCAGACGAGCTAGGTGAGTAGCCGATGGCGCTCTGGCAAGGTCCCTTTCCTTGCTCTGCCCTTCCTTTCTCTCCTCTACCATCCTCCCGAGTCGGGTGGCTTTTTCCAGCCTTGCCGAGATGCCCTGAATGAGAGGTGGCGGGTGGCGGAGAAGAGCCAGACCGCGTTGAAGAGAAAGCCGCGCGGCCAACGGTGGGGACCGCCCCGCTTTCTCCGTGAGCCGGGGTCGTAAGACGGGATACTCTTCAAGCCGTGGCTCCGGACGATTCCACCCCCCGAGCGGTTGGGACCGATCGACGTGTACTTCGGCCGCCCAGCAACGTGCCAGGCTGGAATCCATTTTGCGAGTAGCGTGCTGCATGATGCAATGTTTATAGCGATGGGCGATGTGGAGGAGGGCGGAAGCATGCGCCCTGCCTAGGTGGATCGAGCACGCGGGCTGGCGAAGCGGGGCTGGATCGGCTTTCCGTTTTTCTCTCCTGCCGACCTTCCCAGGGCGCTTTTCCAGGCGATCCCTTCCAGCCTTGGATCCCAGGCGCTGAGCGGCTTAAGCTGACAGGGTTTATTAAGGGATGACAGAAGTCCTTTCCTTAAATGGTCCTTTCTTCGGATCGTGCAGTGGCCGGGTTGGGTGGGGGGGGGGGGGCGACGGTTCTTTATAGTGACTCATCACTTAAAAGTCCAACAACTGCACCCTTTCATCCTTAATTTGACTCGGGTTGGTTTCGATTCGGGATATTATTTCCCTCTGATGCAGCTGTAACCTACGAATTAAATAAGATGTTCTGCGTTTATTTCTGTAAAGAAACTCGTGTTTGCCTTACCATTCAATGGAAAGAGTATAGGGAGGTTGATCAGTGTATCGTTAATGGTTGTTTTTATGAATCGGGTTTTTTGGGCGGGGGGGGGGGTGATCTATGAAGGGGACACAAACAATTGCTCTAAACAATATATATTTCCTAGGCAAATTACACACAAAGTTCCAAAACTGGTTTCCTTCTCTGGTGTCCTGCCTCCTGCAGTGGAAATTTTGACTTTGAAAGGAATTATGACTCCTTTGCTTAAGTTTGCCCAGGAGTTACATTATTATATTATTATAGTATTAAGAGATTGACTTCCTGCTACCCATCATAGCAGCTGTCAACATAAACAGATGTAGTAACTACAGTACCATGAAATATACTATCCTGTCTCTTTCTTAATATAAGGGTGAACAGCCTATGGCCCCATCTTTTCTGTTCCCTGACCATACTGCTGAGTTGAGTTTAAATTTTATTAAAGAATGAAAATCAAATACAAATACAGTAATAAAGCCATGCAGATTTAAAGAAAACAAATAAAAATACAGAACAAATGAATAAACAGAAAAAGTAAAGAAAAAGAGAAAACGTATAAAGAATCTGTTTCTGATTTTTACAGCAGTTACTAATAAGATTCATCTATCCTCCCTCTTTTAAGATTACATTACAATTCCCTTCCAATATTTGATCCTTTTGACTCATCAAATCTATAAGCCACCAGTTCATTTTTTCCGCATTTTCAACATAAAAGTCCATAAAGGATTTGCCAATCACTAATAAATGTACTTGTTATCTTCTCGATCAAGAAGTTATTTTTGCATTTTGGCAAATACTATCATCTTCATTAATTGTTCCTTCATGGTGGATATTTCAGAATATTTCCATCTTTGTGCATATAGCAGTCTTGCTACAGCTACCATGTACAAAAACAATCGACCATGAGACTTTCCATTCTGCTGTGTTTTAATATGGTGGTTACTTGCCATTTTGTGGCATGCAATAGATTGAAACTCTCAGGTAATTCCTAAAGTAAACTTCATCCAGTTTTGAAAAAAAAAACCCAGAAGGCCATTGTCACTAAAGATGTTAGGTGTTCTGCAACCAAAAATTTCAGCTGTGATCATCGTGCTAGTGACCCTCCACTGATTTTGGCTACATGAACCACTTGCGAGTACTTAGGTTTCAAATGACTCCGCTTGCTGTAGACTGTCCAGTCTTTCTAGATTTTGTCATGGCTGGATGGCTGGCTAATAATTCATTTTTTTGTAATGAGAGGAAATTAAAATTTTCTGAAGGATGGAACTATTAAAGTTATAGGGGATGAAAGATTTTGTTTCACTCACTTTCTGTTCCCTTGGGTGGGGTGTAGTGGAAATTAAAAAAAGGAGAAGAGGTATGCCAGAGGAGTCCCATGTTGAAACCAGCATCCTGACTCTTGTATTTTTGAAGATTGGCAGAGAGTATTAATTTCTAAGTGATCCTCTTCCTTGGTTGTAGATGACCCAAGGAACTAGAATTAACCCGAGTTATGGTGAGGGAACTGTATACCATTCAATGTCAGTTTATGATTGGAACAATCTGTAAGCTATGTAAAATCAGATCAAGTAGGTTATTCAACAGCAAACTGGTTGCAAGCTTTTCTGGTTTGCCATGAACCATTTATTTTGCACAGATCCAAACATTACATATAATGCTAGTTCAAAGTAGTTTGGTTTGCTGTTATGGCTCCTTAAGAAGTCATCATTTGTCTGAGTTGCACATTACAGCCTGCAATCTATTGTTAGGACTTTAAAATATTTTTAATATATGATAGGAAGATAGAAATGTGCAACCCAAACAGATAACAACAGGTTATGCATACTACCTTACTATGTTTGAACCCTGCCAGTGAAATGAACTGACATTAAAGCTTTGTCATTCTTTGATTGACTATTTAATTCTGAAACTTAAGGGAAGAAAAAGATTACTAAGGTTAAATAAATAAAGAGTGAAACTTACACATGTGTGAACTGGTACAAATGAATGGGGACTTTGATGCTTTTATTATTTCTGCAATTATGATTTTATAATTATAGTGTAATTATCTCAGAACAAGCTCTCAGCTTTGTTTATGCTTGCCTTTTGAAGCATTTTGTCTATTGTTAGGACTAAGTCATGTTTTTTGTCATTTATGGAATTAATGTACAGAAGTACATCATAGTTTTCGCTGCGGTTTCATTGATCTCCAAGGTTCATATATAGAGCATAGACTATGATGCAAAATTGTTGCAACTGTCACCTACTTATATTAAGTTATATTGAGCTTCCTGTTATTATTGAGAAATATATGGTTTCAACAGACTTTCATTTATTTGGTGTTAGTAAGGATCTGCTCCCAGGTAGAAGGTGCCAGAGAATAAAAGTAAAATAAAAGAGAAAATGGAGTGATACGTTGGCAGTATGCACACACAAGCATGCAGCTCCATTCGAATTCTTAGAATGATTTGGTAAGAGAAACAGCATTGCTGCTTCCTAAGCTTTGATGCCCTTGCCTATGCCAGGCACATTCAGCCTTTGTCTAAAGTTGGTTCTGAACAGCTGTTAAGGCATACAGTCACACTTTTAATATTCCAGCATAACATTTCCCCCTTCTGTTTGGACAGAATGAACTGTGAGAAGATAAACTGAAAATTTAATTTTCATTTTCTTTGTAATTAGCTTCCTAGTATTTTTTGGGTGTGTGTGTGTGTGTGTGTGTGACTTTTTCAATACATAATTAGCGACCCGCAATGGTTCTTGCTGTATAAATCTGCATGAATGCATCCTATTGCAATTTGCTATCCTATTCTACTTATCTATTTTTCATTATGCCTTAATTCCCTTGACAACTGTTTTCTTCCTTTCTTTATGGAAATCACTTGCATGCCTTCTCAATTAAGTACAAAATTAAAATAGAAGAGATCTATCTTCTTATCACTTGCTATAATTTGTAGCATTAATGTTCCTTATCTAGTGAACTTGTTTTACAGCATATGGAACTGTAGTTACAAATTTGTATCCTTATGCTCATGTGTGGAAATGATCCCAGCCACGTGATTTCCTGGCTATAAGTGACTTCGTGCCCTTTATTAGCTTTAGCACGGATATCAATTGTGACATTCTTTGGTTTAGACTATTACATTACAAGACATATGGACCAAAATAGGTTATTTAGATTACCAACTGAACTGAGCAGTTTCTACTATATCAGGTCTATATGTCGTCAACTGTAGTAGCTTCCAGTCCATTTCCACACCCATTTTTAAGTGCTAGTTTTAACCTATAATGGTATGCAAAGTACAGCATATTAAAAATGGGTGCCAAGCTCATGCTTGGTCTGTCTTTTTGAGCAGCTTTAAGATACCCCCATATCTTTTATCTTTTATATATGCCAGTTTGAAGATATCCTTTCACATTAACTGATGATGTGTTGAGTTGTCAGGTAGGTATTTTAGTAATCAACTATAAATAATGCTTAATTTAACCCACAAACACCAGTTTCACGGAAGAAAATTGATATTTCCCTTTTATTAAATTCTGTGGGGTTTTTTATTGTAGACCAGATTTGGAAGTTTAACAGCTTGTCTTGGGCATTCTCTCAAAATGACTAGCATGGATAATGTGCTCAAGCACAAAATATTAAAACAGATCTTAACACCTTCTTGTTTCCTTAACTGAAACTGTCTTACCAGTTTGGTTTGCTTTTGTCTTTTTACTAGGTAGATGGGCATACTTTCAAACAAAGCTGCAGTCCTCAACCATTGGCCTTTAGAAGATTATTTTCCGATAGGAATATAAAGAATTCCTAATACTCTCTAAAACATGCTACCTCTCCATTAAAAAAAAATCTAGAAAAAGTGCCAGGTAAGGCATGAAGCCTGGTGAGCATCAAAGAAGGTGTCATATCGAAACCATCCTCATTAGTGAATAGACCACCTAAAGTTTATGCGGGGTTGACCAAGCAAAATAGTTTACACATTTTAGCCTTGTCTAATTTGACCCTAATCAAGCTTGTACTCTGATGCTCTATTCCGGGACAATAAACTTTGATTTGAACTCTCAGTGTTTGTAGCTGCAGAGAGAAACAGTAGTCGGCAGTCTTCTCTAATGTCATGTCTTCCAGATATGCTTGGAGCTTCCAGAACTCCTGAGAATTCTGTAATGTATTTCAAGAAGCAGTAATAGTAGAGATGGT